CCTCGCAAACTTTTTTAAAATTGAGATTTGTATCTCCGACTCGGCGAAGCGTTACATTAAGAAAAGTGGAGTAAAATATAGATTCGACAAAGTAAAAGTCCGGTTCCCGGAGCTTACCTCGGAGCTGCATCAATTCAATTTAACACGACAAAGCTACACATTTATAGTCCCATATATCATGAGAAAATATTTCAATTACTCCATCCAAAATCCGGCCAGGAAGAGGGAATCTATATATCTATGTGGTGGTGTTTTCATCTCTCTGACCGTTCATTTTTGTCGGAGCCATAAAAAGATATATAATATGAAATATTTCTGTTGCAAGTTTTGGCATCTGAGCTCGGTGTTCACTCAATATATCCTTATTTCTGGCGATTTTATGTGTTTATTATACCGCAGCAAGGTTCATAACGGTCCCTCGGATTTGCCAGACTGTAAATTCTACAAAAGTTCTTTTATGTGATACAATGCGTCCGGACGGGTCGTACTTTTATTAAATAATTTTGCGGGTTTTATTAAAATTCGACGGTTGCTGAATCGGGCCCGATTTGTGACACGTTTCATTAAGGGTCAGCGCCGATAAAGCGGCCTCGTGTTTGCCCTAATTGCTTAATTCGTGTCTATCGAAACAGTGTCAAAAGAATAATTTCGGGATGATTAATAAAACATGGAAATTAGCCGAGCTATCTAAACACAATCTGCTGCTCTTTATATCGAACAATCGATCAAATGTAAATTTATACTTCAAGGTGAAAGTTATCGGCTTTGTGTTTAAAAATACGCACGACGTGAGGGGTTAAATATGCAAGAGTTAGTATTTCATGTCACTTTGTGCTATTACTAAAATAAGAAAATGTTGAGTACAACTCGTGGCTATTATTTTCAAGCTGCAAGTTTAACGAAGTTTTTCTAGGGCGGTATTTAACGTATGGTCTGATAAGCTAGAACGGACTGACGTAAATTGCTATATTTTAAAAATTCCTACGGTATTTACTTTAAAAAATTGGTCGTAGGTTATTTCGACAGAGCTTCTGACGCACCTGAACAAATCGCGCTTCTGTGAAAAATAATAATTTTTTTTTGAGATTTTTGTTTTCTCATAACCTCTACAAAGTGGTGTAAATAACACTCCCACAGCTTTTTTGACTTGAATTTTTCAATCCTTCAATTTTTCATTGTTTTGATACTTTAGTTTTTCGATTTGCAATTTTTCGAGTTTTCAAGTGTAAATTTTTTAATTTTTGACTTTTTTAATTTTTCAGTTCTTCGATTTTTCAACTTTTGGGTGCTGCAGTTTTTAGATATTGTCATTTTTCGATTTGTAATTTCAGGAGTTTTCAATTTTTAATTTTTCAGTTTTTTAATTTGCAATTTTTCGTTTCGGTTTCCTATTTTCTTTATTTTTTCAACTCGGTTTTTGTCTAATATATATTTTATAATTTATATTTTTTTTCCAATGTGAAATTTTTGAAGTTGATTTGCAATTTTTCGATTTTTTAATATTTCGTTTCTTCATTTTTAGATCTTTCAAGTTCTCAATTTTTCAGTTTCCGTTTCTTAAATTTTTGATTTGCAATTTTTCTAGTTAATATTTTTAACACGTAATAATTAATACAATTTTTAAAATTTCTGTAATCGAGTCCATCGACCGACTACCTACTTTTATCTTTTCTGGACCTTTCATGACCCTAGACTATGAAGAAACAGGTTTCCCGTTTCCGTCTGTCTCTCTGCCGTCTGTTCGGATTTTTATTAGACAGATAATTTCAGAAACTACTCGACCGATTGCTGTCCCGACATTTTTTTTTTAATTTTAAGAAAAAAAACACTTAGGCTCCCGAATTCTTCCATTTTCTTTTAAAAATAAAAGACCAAAAGCTTTTAAGATTATTGCCGTCATTTTCAGAGACAAAGTATGAGAAACCCCCAAAATTTTCTGAAATTCGTTTAAAAAAAAAAACCATAGGCAGCTTCGACATTTTTTTAATTTTTTCTAAAACAAAGCGTTAGCGTTTCCTAAGGTTCTTTCGAATTGTTTCAAAAACAAAATACCAAAAGCCTCCCATGTTTTTTACCTTCTTTGAAAAACAAAACACCAGAGACCCCATAATAATCTTTTAAAACTTTAAAAAAGTGGGACTTCCGCGTTCTTTCAAAATCTTTCAAAAATGAAAGATGAAAGGCCTCTAGGTTAAAAAGGACGAAAAGGCCGAAGTAGGACGAACAAGGACGAAAAAGGACAAAAAAGGACGAAAAGGTCAAAAAGGAGGAAAAGGACAAGAAGTGGAAAAAGACCGGCAAGGTCGGAAAGGACGAAAAAGGACGAAAAGGTCGAAAATGATGAAAAATTAACGAAAAGGACGAAAAAGGACGAAAAGGACGCAAAAAGAGGAAAAGGACGAAAATGATGATACGGATGGAAAATTACGAAAAGAACGAGAAATCAGGAAATGGACGAAAAATGGGACTAATGGAAAGTTCTATTCCTTAAATAAACTACTTACTTACTTACTTACTTACTTACTTACTTACTTACTTACTTACTTACTTACTTACTTACTTACTTACTTATTTACTTACTTACTTACTTACTTACTTACTTACTTACTTACTTACTTACTTACTTACTTACTTACTTACTTACTACTTACTTACTTACTTACTTACTTACTTACTTACTTACTTACTTACTTACTTACTTACTTACTTACTTACTTACTTACTTACTTACTTACTTACTTACTTACTTACTTACTTACTTACTTACTTACTTACTTACTTACTTACTTACTTACTTACTTACTTACTTACTTACTTACTTACTTACTTACTTACTTACTTACTTACTTACTTACTTACTTACTTACTTACTTACTTACTTACTTACTTACTTACTTACTTACTTACTTACTTACTTACTTACTTACTTACTTACTTACTTACTTACTTACTTACTTACTTACTTACTTACTTACTTACTTACTTACTTACTTACTTACTTACTTACTTACTTACTTACTTACTTACTTACTTACTTACTTACTTACTTACTTACTTACTTACTTACTTACTTACTTACTTACTTACTTAATTACTTACTTAGGACGGAAAGGACGAGAAATCAGGAAATGGACGAAAAAGGACGAACAAGTCGATAAAGACGAAAAAGAACGAAAAATGACGGATAGGTCGAAAAGGACGAAAAGAATGACAAGGATAGAAAATAACGAAAAGGATGAAAAATGACGAAAAGGACAAAAAGGGCGCAAAAGGACGAAAAGGTCGAAAAGGACGAAAATCGACGAAGAGGACGAAAAAGGACGAAAAGGTCGAACAGGGCGAAAAGGACGCGAAGGACGAGAAATTTAGGAAAAGGACGAACAAGGACGAAAGAGGACGATAAGTTCGAAAAGGTGGAAAAGGACAAAAAAGGACGAAAACGAAGAAAGGGACAAGGATGAAAAATTAATAAAAAGGGCGAAAAAGGACGAAAAAGTTGAAAAGGACCAAAAGGATGAAAATTACGAAAAGGACCAAGAGGGATGAAAAAGGACGAAAAAGGACGAAAAAGTACGAAAAAGGACGAAAATGTCGAAAAGGACGAAAAGGGCGGAAAAGGATGAGAAAGGATGAAAAAGGTCGAGAAGGACGAAAAAGGACGAACAGGTCGCAAAGGTCGAAAAGGACGAAAAGGATGAAAAGGTCGAAAAGGTAGAAAAGCACGAGAAGAATAAAAAATTGTGATAAGGACGTAAAAGGACGAACAAGTCGAAAAGGACGGAAAAGGACGAAAAATGACGGAAATGTGGAAACAGGATGAAAAATGACGAAACAGCTCGAAAAAGGACGAAAAGGTCGAAAAGGACGAAAAAGGACGAAAAGGACGAAAAGGGACGAAAACGATGAAAAGGAAGAAGAGGACGAAAAAAAACGAAACAAAAAAAAAGAAGGAAAAGGTAAAAAAAAACGAAAAAGGACGAAAAGGTCGAACAGGACGAAAAGGATGAAAAGGATGAAAAATTACGAAAAGGACGAAAAAGGACCTAAAGGACGAACAAGGACGAAAAAGGACGCAAAAGGAAAAAGAATGAACATTACGAAAAGGATGAAAAAGGACGAAAAGGACGAAAACGAACGAAAAGGACGAAAAAGGACGAAAAGATCGAAAAGGTGGAAAAGGACGGAAAGAATGAAAAATTGTGAAAAGGATGAAAGGTCGAAAAGGACGAAAAGGGTCGAAAAGAACGAAAAAGGACGAAAAAGGACGAAAAAGGACGATAAGGACGAAAAAGGACGAAAGGTCGAAAAAGGACACGAAACATCGAAAAGGACGAAGAGGTCGAAAAGAACGGAAAAGGTTGAAAGGTATAAAAAAGTACGAAAAAGGACGAAAAGGTCGAAAAAGGACGAAAAGGACGAAAAAGACGAAAAAGAACGAAAAGGACGAAAAAGGATGAAAATATCGAAAGGGTCGAAAAGGACGAAAAAGGTAGAAAGGGATGAAAAAGGACGAAAAAGGACGAAGAGGTCGAAAAGGTAGAAAAGGACGAAAAAGGTCGAAAAGGACGAAAAAGGACGAAAAAGAACGGAAAGGTGAAAAAAGGATGAAAAAGGAGGATAAAGACGAAAAAGAAAGAAAAGGTCGAAAAAGGAGGAGAAGGACGAAAAAGGACGAAATAATTGAAAAGGACGAATAAAGCCGAAAAGGTCGAAAAGGACGAGAAAGTTTGAAATGGATGAAAAAGGACGAGAAAGGTCGAAATTGGACGAAAAGGACGAAGAGGACGAAAAAGGACGAAAAGGTCGAAAAGGACGAAAAAGAACCAAAAGCACGAATAAAGACGAAAAGATCGAAAGGGTCGAAAAGGACGAAAAACTACGATGAAAAATTACGAAAAGGACAAAAAGGACGAAAAGGACGAAAAAGGACGAAAAGGACGAAAAAGGACGAAAAGGACGAGAAAGGACGAATATTGCGAAAAGGACGAGAAATTAGGAAAATGACGAAAAAGGACGAAAAAGGACGACTAAGGACGAAACGGTCCAAGACGAACGAAAAGGACGAAGGGATCGAAAAAGAACGAAAAGGACAACAAGGATGTAAGATTACGAAAAGGACGAAAAAGGACGAAAAAAGACGAAACAGGTCGAAAAGAACGAAGAGGATGAAAATTTATGAGAAGGACGAAAAGGACGACAAGGATGAAAAATTACGAGAAGGACGAAAAAGGACGAACAGTTCGAAAAGGACGAAAAAGACGAATATATCGAAAAGGACTAAAATGGTCGAAAGGGACGAAAAAGGACGACAAAGGACGACAAGGTGGGAAAAGGACAAGAAAGGACGAAAAAGGACGATAAGGTCGAAAAGGACGAAAAGAACGAAAAAGGACGGAAAGGACGAAAGAGGTCGAAAAGGACGAAAAAGGACGAAAAGGACGAAGAGAACGAAAAGGATGAAAAATTATGAAAAAGGACGAAAAAGGACGATAACGTCGAAAAGGAGCTTCTGTGATTCGTTGTAAATTTCAATAAGATTAAAATTGACTCAACTGTATATATTTTTTGATAACATCTACATATTATTCCAAAGATCTAGATTTTGAAAAAAAAAGTAAGCACGAAGTAGGGAAGCGCGCGTATAGAAGCATACTATTTTACAAAATTTAAATAGGAGTTATCTAGGCCAAATTTTTATTTCTGTTTCAGTTTAGTCTTATTACATATATTTTAGATTGTAGACTACACGGAAAAATCTAATTGTTGGTAGCGATTATCGTAATACACACAAAAAGCTTGTCAAATATTTTGTGAATTAGATCTGGGGAAGAATAAGAAAAATAAAATTCAATTAACTGGATGTATTTTGAAGTTAAATCCTCAGTTACAGGGTGTACATTTTATCTGTTCACGCCTGAAAATTTTTGGATAGGCAACATATTATACACACCAGAGACGACTTCGTCCAATTTAAATTTTTTTAATAAGCAATCATAGCAATCACAGAAAAAAATGACAAAGATGTCAACGCCAAATAATGACAAAACTGAAAAAATTAATACTCAATTTATTAATGGATCAGATTACAACGAAAACAAATTTATAATAAATGCCTGTATCCACTATCTTCACAAAGTCCTATCCTACGTTCAAAATTTGTACGAACTCTCTCTGACATTACTACTACATTCTTCTCTAGCAATAATTCTTAGTTCAAACGCTATGTGTAAATAGTTCCTCACGTCTCTGTGATAAAATGAGCGGGAGCGCCATCATTTTGAAACCAAATTATTCTTCGTATGTCTAGCTCTACGTTTTCCAACAGTTCAGGTAAAATATTCTTTAAAAAATTTAGATACATAGTTTCGTTTAAATTTCCTTCAAAAAAATGTGGACCAATGAAAAAAAAGTTGAACAATTTTTACATGGTATGGATGAAATCGGTTTGCCTTTAAGATGTTGAAAACCGAACCCAAACTAATCTCCATTTGTCTTGCAATCTGTCTTTAACTAACGTGGGGATTTTCTGCTACAATTTCGATTAGAGCAGCTTCATTATCCGACGTTGTTACAGTTCGATTCCTAACTTAATTTTTTTTGAATTGCCCAAATTTTCGTTTTTTTTTTTTCAAGTTTTCTAAACCCTTGATTTGAGGGAGTTCTCCTATTGGGATATTGCCTGGCGTAGAGACGAACAGCAGCATCAAAATTTTTGTCACACTTTCCCAATATTAAGAGCATGTCTGTTTTTTCAGAATTCGAAAACATTTTAAAGCAAACTAAAATTGAAAATATGTGGCTTGGACAGAAATAATTTGTCATAATTTTGGTTCTGATCATTGCTATCTATGCGTTCATTATTATTTAAAAATAAAAATTAATCAAAACTGTTTTTATAACGTAAAATGGGTTGCCTATGCAGAAATATTCAGACGTGAAAACATAAAAAACACCCTGTATATTATCTGTCAATAAACCCAACAATCAGTTTTGAATAAACGGCGTATTAAGATGGCATATCAAGTCATTAAACAAACGCTGCGTATAAATGATTAATTTTCAGCTAGCTGCAGCAATAGCAACAGGAAGCACCTCCTGAGTTTAGCCTCCGAATACATTAAACACCTCCAATGCCAAAATCGCCAATAAATCACTCTTCAACACGTATCCTCGTTGAATTATTTATCGACAGGCCAGAACCGAAAAGTGTATCATGTGTGTTAGCAATATAACGCTCGTTATTACCGACAGATAATGAGATAATTTAACGCGGTTGTAATTACAGACCGGAAGGAAACACGAGTAAAAACTAGTCGGAGATTCATCTCGGATACATTTCATTATAATAATTTAGCATAAGTTAAAAACGGTCAGCGAGCCGTTGACGAGTGGGTTCACATCCATTCGTATCAACACATTCGGAAAAATAAGCGCTCCCTAAAGGAACAATGCAGATCGTAAAACAACCCGAATTTAAATTCCGCCCCTCGGCAAATATTTAGAGTAAACTTATTGCGTAAGTGCGCGATATCCTGAGATGTACGGACCAAGGCGAATCCCCATCTGAATATACCATTAGAGGGTGTTTACTGTTGGAGTGTTTGTCTTTTTCAAGTTTTTTATTAAGAAAGCGCATTGTGGTAGATGGGAAACGACTCGAACCTAGAAGAATCTAATCTGGTCTAACAAATATAACAGAAAATAAAACACACAAAAATGCAAAATGTGGAGGATGTGACAACAAAAAACTCGGATGGGAATATTTCTATCGAAAGAAAGGACAAAATTTATTGACAGTGGCTAAAAGTACGTAACTAATACCAACTGATTTTACCAAAAACCTTCGTGCTAGACTTAAGTAAGTTATATTACTCCATTATTCATAATAAAAAAAATAGTAATAATAAAAATTGCAAAATAGGCGCTTTAGGCAAGTTTTAGATATTTTTCTAAATTTTCTGAAGAAATTTTTTTCCTTTTGTATGTTAGGACATTTTTATACCTAGGGAAGGATCTCTCAACCTCACACGATGTTAAAGGCGAATAATTAAAATTAGAAATTTCGTAAAGTTTTTAAATCTGAATAAAAGGATTTTCTCAGATACACATTATATAAAATTTGCCCTAGGATCCGCCTTTTTGACAAGACAAATTAGAAAACTTTTTCGTCATTGAAATGAATGCTACTAATTTTCAAAGGACACTGTTTATCAGCAGACAAAGATAAAGTTAGCTTTCTAATACATTTCGGCGATAGTAGAGCACTAAATTCTACCCAATGTTAATTCATTTGTTATTTAAATTTTATTTGGCTTTTTACCTGATTTACAATGTTGTTAACATTGAAATAACAGTCAGTTGCTGTTGTTTTCTTCCAATTTATGCTTTTTTTGTTCTGTTTATGATAACATTTTCCTTGCAGAAACAATGTGTATACCTATTTAATTTTGACTTTTAACATCCAGTAAAAAACATGATAAAACTGTATTTTTTGTGGCAAAGTTTTCAAATGAGTTTAACTTGAAAACAATTGATCTAGTTATTTATACAAGTTTTTTTTTGATAACTTTTGCCGAATTTGAGGCAAAAACATTGACAATCATTAGGGATGCATTTAAAATCCTCTGCATTGACATCGTGAAATTTCCTGAGGTGTTTCAAACAGGTAGTTAAAGAAAACTTAAACAGTTGGTATAGCAAAATTGATCCCACCAAGATTTCAAATTTTCTAAATATCATACAAAAGCTCTTGGAAAGGTTGACCTCTTGCACTTAGAAACAATTACCTCTTCGTTTTTAAGAGCTTTAGGTGTAATTTGTTCATACTCTTCTCTAATTCAGGTTTTTAAGTCGTCGATGGTATCCACAGGTTGTTTGAAGATTTGAAGGTGTTTTTCAACGTGGGTAACACGAAATAATCCAGGGTCGTCAAATCTGGTGATCGAGGTGGGTAGATGTGGTAAATGTGGTAACTAATCAAATGGTCATCATAAAATTTGGACGTCGTTTCTGCTGTGTGAAGTGTTGCACCATCATGTTGAAAAAAAAATCGAACATGAATATAATCGAAGAAGTTATACTAAAAACAACGGTACAATCTTGGTTGAAAATGTTAAGAGGTCGCTCCAAATTTTTAAAACGTTCCCAAATCGTCAAAATTTGATTTTCTTTTTGTTTAATTTGTTTTTCTAGTTACGGTAATATTTTATAGACAAAAAAATAAGTCTCCCAAATTTTTAAATCAAAATATTAATTTTTAAAGGTCGCTCTAATTTGTTTTAATTTACAAGAAATGTTTTCGCGCGACTTTAGGCTTTAAAATTGTATAAATTTAGAATTTGTTTTCAGAATTCATAACAAAGTTTATTTAAATGTCGTTAAAATGTTGTAATTGTTTACATGAAAAACGAGTTATTAAAAAATTATATTTCCAGCACTGGTTTGATTTTTTTTCCATCTCGTGGTGTATTTTCATGGATTATCTCACTAATTAAAAGGTAAAACATTCATTGAAGCTTAATATAAATATTAAAAAGTGGCTCGACGAAACTTTCCTCGCTCCTGAAATGCAATGATAATTTTTTTGAGTCACCCTGTATACGCAAATCCAAAAAATATGAATGAAATGTTCAATCACAAGTACACACTCATCATATTTTGTACATTTTAGATAAGATTTATTCAGCAAAATTTTGGGGTGACGTCATCAATTTATAATTATCAATAAGCAAATACATTTTGATCAAAAATTTTCTGTTCTTATGATTACTTGAAAACATCTCCAAGATTTAAAAGCATTCGGTTACGCATTTCCTGATTAAATGAATACAATAAATATTCATTAATTTTGTTGAGTCACCCTGTATACGCGAATCCAAATTGAACGGAATGATTAACTACAAGCACAGACTTATCATATTTTCTACATTTTAGATAGGATTTTTTGGGCAAAATTTTGAGCTGACGTCATCAATTTTTTGGAGGGATTAAATTATTATAAGAAAAGACACTAGAGGCTCCAAAGCAGTTTCAAATTCTTTCTAAACAGGAATACCTAGAACGTCAAAATTGTTTTAAATTTTTCAAAAAAACAAACGAGATCCCAAAATTAACTCAAAAACATAGGACAAGAAAATAGAACACCAAAGTCTCCCAAAATTGTTTTAAATAATTTACAAAAAAAAAAATCCATGGGTTCCCAAAATAATACACCATAGATACCCAAAAGTCTCCCGAATTAAAAAAAGACACTGAGGCACTCAAGACTTGTCCAAATTTATAAAAAATAAAACACCAACAGATTTTTTCAACTTAATCCAGCAACAGAACACCAGATTCCTTTAAATTTATCCGAAAATAAAACACCAGGGGAACTAACATTAAGTGCGAACATTTTAAATGTAGGGTTTTGAAAAGTTTAAGTTTCTTGTTGTCGAAATAAGTCTACACATTTTAAGAAAGAAAGGCAAAACGTAGCCCCGCCCACCCACCCAGTCTCAATTGTGATGAATTTTTCATTCGTTGTCAGATCGAGGGGCGGGACTTAATTGCAAGATCCATATTTGTTCACAAGAATTTACCATTTTAAACATGTTTTAAGTTTCTTGTTCTGAAAAGACGACTACGTATATTAAATAAAAAGCCAAAATATAAGCCCCGCCCATCCACCCTGTCGCAAGTGTGATGATTTTTTTTAATCGTGGAGAGCCAAAGGAACGGAATTTAATTGCAAAATCCTTAATACTTCTCTAAAAGAAATTAAGATGTAAGACATGTTTTTGAGTATCGTGTTATTTAAAGAATAGTATGTATATTAAGAAAAAATTAAAGCCTAAGACTAAGCCCCACCCATACCTGCCCTGATCTACATATGTTATAATGAAGTTTTGATTCGTTGTTACACCTAGGGGCGGAGTCTAATTGCAAAATTCATATATCTCTACAAAAATTTACCATTTTAAATTTATTATAAGGTGCTTTAACATATTTTTTTTTTTTTAAATAAGTCAATCGTGACGTTCAAGTGTTTTTTTTTTATTTTTTTTTTGTAAAAAAAGTCAGCAGTTTCTATATGGATCCGCATGTTTTAAGTTTCTTGTTGTCGAAATAAATCCACACATATTAAGAAAGAAATGATAAACTAAATATTTTCACAGGAAACTCAAAAAAAGTAGTCGTTTTTTTGCGCCACCCTACTGTGCATATGTGCCATGTTTTTCGATAAGGACTCCTTTTCATTGGTGAATAGTTTCAAATTTTCATGTTTTAAATGGATTAACAAACTGAAATTTCGATTGAAGAAACAAACCGTTCTAAGATAAGCCACTAAACACCTTGGTACATGATTTTTGGGTGTGGTATTTTTGCTCATTTGTGGAGAATTTTGATTTTGGGCTATTTTGACGTAAATATTTCGTACTGAATCTATTTTCTTGAAGTTACTTTGTAATATGAACATAACCAGATAATATTAAAGAAGGATGAAAACACAAAAGACTATAGAAAGAAGTTGAAACAAAAATGTGAAACCCTTAAAATTGAGAAACACATAGGCAGCTATGATAGATAAAGTTCCTCAAACGGCATAATACTTTAAAAAAGAAATGAGTAGGGTAAAAACAGGTGGTTCTATTAAGAATGAGAAAAAAAAAGACTATAGGAGAGTATTAATAATTAAAATGTTAAACAACAAATCTGAAGAAATGAGGAAAAAGTATGGGTAACACAAAAAATTGCGAAATAAATGGTTTCATAAAACCAAACAAAACACATATAGAATGTAATTAGAAAAAGTGAAGAAAACTACAAGAATAAAGAAATAACAGAACTGCACAGAGAAAACTAAGGAAGTATTAGAAATGTGGAAAAACCATTTCGAAGAACTATTGAATAGAGCAGAAAATCGGTAGGTATAATGAGGAGGGAGACGGTGAACAAAATATGCGAGAAATGATAGAAGAAATAGAAGAAAATCCTGTCACTATAATAGGAATAATTAAGACCTAATTATGGACAAATTGAAAAAAAAAACACAGATTAACAAAACCGATCCTAAAAGGATCAACAAGTAGGGAAAATTAGATGGACAACAGGAAGAGAAATTCTACGAAAAAAATGAGTTGGGGTGGTTATTCTTACTTGTACTAGAA